AAGACAAGAGCTTCAAAGTCAGCCAGATAGTTGTTCAAATCTCTTATGCCGTTTCAAGTGTGTGTGAAACAGCTTGGACATATAACCTAACTACTTGGAGTGAGCTTCAGTTTACATAGCTATGATAAAGAAGGGTGTTAGAGAAGGAAGTGAGATAGTGTGAGCTAGGATTTGTAATTGTAGCTAGCATGTGATGAGTACGTAAGAAGCATTTGTTCTTTCTTTCTTCCTTTTTGTTATGACTGAGTCCCTATAGCTACATTTTTGTACTTCCTTTTAATGGCATGCAGCACCTTCCTGCTTTGCACTGTGCTTATATTGAATATAGTTTTATCTTTCCTACTATACTAAAATATCCTTGAGGGCAGGTGATTGGGAACATAGGATGCATTGTGTATGTGTATGCAGATGTGGTGATGCAGACCTGGAGGAGGAGAAGATATAGCTTAACAGTACATTCATAGCAGTTATAAACCCTTTCACTCAGCCTCAGAGAGACAACTTTCTAAATTATACTAGAACATGAAATTGATCAGATATTCTTCCTATCCGGTGGGGCATTTTTCTGCTTGACTGGATTTCCCAGAACTAACTGAGTATTAAACTAAAGTGTCAGGAATCACAATGTGCCAAGTCCACTAGTTCAAACGCTTACATATCTATTTACCATTTCATAAAGTTACTATCAAGCTAAAATCCAGGAGTCAGTCACAGTTAACCAGTACTTATACATCAAATAACTGATACCACTGGGGGAGTTATATGATTTCAAAAGTCATCACTTGACATGACACTACTGTGTACTTTAAAATATTTTTGAATGCATTATCTTCTCTGATTTGAAAATGACCTATAGGCAAAGGTAAATATTATTAACTGCATTTGTAAATGAAACAATTAAGGCTTGTTGTGATGTTAAGTACTCCAAGTTCAACGGCGAATAAAACGCAAAAAGATAGCATCTGAAATCTAGTCAATACCATTACATCATATACTTTCTTTCCTAATTGCAAACGGAAGGTTTGGTTTTTGTTTTTTTGGCTGTCTTTTAAAAACTGAAGATAGGAATACCAGACCTCCTTATCTGCCTCCTGAGAAACCTGTATGCAGGTCAAGAAGAAATAGTTAGAACTGGACATGAAACAACAGACTGGTTCCAAATTGGAAAAGGAGTATGTCAAGGCTGTATATTGTCACCTGCTTTTTTATTAACTTATATGCAGAGTACATCATGAGAAATGCCAGGCTGGAAGAAGCACAAGCTGGAATCAAGATTGCTGGGAGAAATATCAATAACCTCAGAGAGGCAGATGACACCACCCTTATGGCAGAAAGTGGAGAGGAACCAAAGAGCCTGTTGAAAGTGAAAGAGAAGAGTGAAAAAGCTGGCTTAAAACTCAGTATTTAGAAAATGAAGATCATGGCATCCAGTCCCATCACTTCATGGTAAATAGATGGGGAAGCAATGGAAACAGTGACAGATTTTATTTTCTTGGGCTCCAGAATCACTGCAGATGGTGACTGCAGCCATGAAATTAAAAGATGCCCGCTCCTTGGAAGAAAAGTTATGACAAGCCTAGATAGCATATTAAAAAGCAGAGACATTACTTTGCCAACAAAGGTCTGTATAGTCAAATTTATGGTTTTTCTAGCAGTCATGTATGGATGCGAGAGTTGGATTATAAAGAAAGCTGAGTGCCAAAGAATTGATGCTTTTGAACTGTGGAGTTGGAGAAGACTCTTGAAAGTCCCTTGGACTGCAAGAACATCAAACCAGTCAATCCTATAGGAAATCAGTCCTGAATATTCATTGGAAGGACTGATGCTGAAGCTGAAGCTCCAATTCTTTGGCCACCTGATGTGAAGAACTGACTCCTTGGAAAAGACCCTGATGCTGGGAAATATTGAAGGCATGAGGAGAAGGGGATGACAGAGGATGAGGTGGTTGGATGGCATCACTGACTCAATGGACACAAGTTTGAGCAAGCTCCGGGAGTTGGTGGTGGACAGGGAAACCTGGCTGCAGTCCATGGGGTCGCAAAGAGTCAGACATGACTGAGTGACTGAACTTAAGTGAACTGAAAAACTGAAGATAACTGTTAGGATGCATATATTACATATATATGCAATACATTATATATATTTTAAGTGACTCATTCTCTTCTACTTGATATAATTTAGATTTCCATGGCTTTTGGCCAAGTTAAGAATTTTAAAAGATTCTGATTGAGTTGGATAATACTAAATTAGAGCAGTGGAAAAGTACACAGCCCTTTTTTCACTTCTGGAGGCAGCATTCTAGAAGATAGCCATGTATCTGCATGTCATCAGTATATATAGAAGAACATACTCTAACATCTTAAATATCTGGTTTTACTCTATAGTCTGTATTTCTCAGAACAATGATAGAAAAGCTTCCTGACTTTTGCTTCTCTGATAGTTCCAATCTTTTTCTCATTCTTAGTAGATAACTTAGTAGATAACTACACTTAACTACACTTCCTTATTTTTTGAGTTCATTGAGACCATCCAGTGTGAACTCTTTCTACCTCTGCAAATAAATTATCTCTCATCTGTTTTCTTCAGCCAGTCTCAGGGGATGATACATTTCTTCTCCCCAGAGACTGTCACCTGTATTGCTCCTTGTTTAAGCCTGTCTCCTCCAGTGGTATTCTCTAATCTTTGTTATAGCTTCTACTTCTTCCAATTAGCTGGTCATTGAGTTTTGTGTATTTGAAACAACAGCAAATAAACAAGACCTCTGAAACTATAGTTCTTTATCTTGGTCTTCACAAAACTTATCAGAAGAATTACTTGCACTCATTACCATGGTTTTTATCCCATTGATTTCCCAACAACTCACCAAATCTAACTTCTGCTTTAATGCTCTGTGGGAACTGATATCTGATAGGTCACATGCACACTGTCAGATCAACAAGGACTTCCATCATTCCTTAGCTTCTTAGAAGTTTTGGTTTCAGAACATAATTTTCTCCCTTCAAAATTATTTTCTTTTTGTTCTGTCCTCTTTTATTTCTTCCAGCTTCCTTGAGATATATCAACTCAACTTCCTTGAGCTGACATCACAGTCCTTTTATTTAAATACATAACAGCTTTGGTAAAATATAATTTGCATGGTATAAAATTTACCCCCTTAAAGTGTACAGTTTAAGTGACTTTTGGTATATTCACAAAGTTGTGCCACAATCACCATTGTCTAAATCCAGAATATTTTCATAACCACAAAAAGAAACCCCATATCCATTAGCAGTGGCTCCCCATTCTCCTCTTCCCCCAAACCCTGGCAACCACTAATTTACTTTTTGTCTCTATGGATTTGCCTAACCTGTACATCTCATATAAATTAATCCTGCAATGTATAGTCTTTGTGACTTCCTTCATTTAGCATAATGTTTTCAAAGTTCATCGATGTTGTGGAAAACTTTTATTGGATAAACTAAATTTTGTTTATCCATTCATTGGGTAAAGGGCATTTGGTTTTATTCCATCTTTTGGTTCTTATAAATAAAGCTGTTATGTACAACTGTTTGTATGGACATAAGTTTTCATTTCTCGTGGGTATTTACCTAGTTATAGAATTATCCAGTCTTATGGTAATACTGTGTTCAACATTTTGTAGATAGCTTCTTGACTTCTATTACTGTGCTCTCCTTACCATTTATTGCCTTCCTTTTTCACTATTTCTCTTCTTCTTTAGACAAAAGGTGATATTCCCCAAATCTTGGACCTGACTTTTCCTCTCTCTTCATTCTCTTTTCCAGCAACCTAATGATCTCCCATTGTCTTCACTACCATCTATCTCTTACTTTTAGGAATCTGTTGACAGCCTGATCACTGTCAGCATTAGAGCTCAACATTATTAACAAACTAAAGAAATCTTCACTTGGTTATTCTGCCAGCAGTCAAACAGCATCATCTTCTTTCCAAAGCCTGTGTTTCATATTTGCATTTCCCCTTTTCCAATAGTGACACAGCTATACTTGATCCTTGACTCAAGCATTTGAAGTCATCATTTACCTCCTTACTTTTTATCTTGAACCCAGTTACTAAATTCTGCCATTTTTTTTTACAGTTTCTCTTGTAATTCTTATTTTCAACTAAAATGTTTTTTATTAATTTTACTATCTCTTATAGATGGGTAGAGTAAAGAATCTGTCTGCCAATGCAGTATATGTGAGTTCGATCCCTGGGTTAGGAAGGTCCCCTGTCATGGGAAATTGCAACCGACTCCACAGTTCTTGCCTAGAAAATTCCATGGACAGAGGAGCCTGGCAAGCTATAGTCCAGGGGGTCGCCAAGATTAGACACAACTGAGCACGTATGCACCTACCTTTTAACTGGTCTTTCTACCTCATATCTTTCCTTACTCTCTTAATCACTTCTCATCTCCCTTCAATCCATGACATCAGTACTGTCCTTGGCTAGGCACATCCCATCATTTCCAGATTCAGCAACATTTGCCCTTACCTGCTAAATATATCAAGTCTCTTTGCTGATTATTGTTTAGTTATACTCATTAATGAGTTCCAGTAAATCTTCCCATGAGGTAACACTACTAAATTAAGCACATGTTCTATCCACAATCAATTATTTTATTTTTACTGTGTATGACCCTACATGTTCTTTGCTTCTGTTAAACGTGGTCACCTTCTGTCATCTCCAAAAGATGAACTGTCTGTCATGTAAGTTCAGCCCAAATGTCATATATCCATAAGTTTTATCTAATCTTCCCAACTGAAAATAATCTCTTCTACTTAACGAACTCCTGAAATGTTCTAAAAACCTTTTCTATGGCTTTTGATATTACAATACATGTTTACTATTATTAGACAGTAAGCTCTTTGATGGTAGAAACAATGACACGTCAAACCTTGCCTCTGCAAGCATGTAATGCTTATTAGTTATTTGCTTTGTACCTGGGACACAATTGTAATTTTTTTCGAATAACAAGTAATTGTTGATGTGTTTTATTCTTACAGATATTTTCCTAAATGCTACCTCTTTTGCAATGTTACTTTTAGGGAATCCAGAATATGGTATTCAGGTATTACTCTATAATTTAGTAGCATGTATTTTCAGTTCATCTCTAATATGGAATTTGAAATTATAACAATATAGCAGTAATGAGTCTTCAATCCATATCCAAACAAAAGATGATATTGGTCTTATAATGAGAAAAAAGAAATGTGATGTATGGGAGAAAAAAAGTAAATCCAAATTCATTTAGAAAAAATAAAATAAAATATTTTATAGCAGAGAGAGAAATAACTGAAAGAATACACATAAACTATTATAGGTCCTGGAACATGTACCATGAAAAAGAGATGTTGTGAAACTATTTTAATGAAATTAGTTCCAATTCATCTTTACCTTTCATATTTGGGAATTTAGACAGACTTCTAATATATGAACAAGAATTACATTTAGTATTGCTGTAGGTTATATTAGTGTATCTTGTGTGTTTCAATAGCCATTTATTATTATTAGCAGCAGAATAAAGAAGGAAATAAGGATATGAATACCACATAACTTGGTATTGTTTACTGCAGCCTGTGGAATGCTGGCTCAGAGGAAAAGAATGTGTTCATTCCATTAAACTGAGTGTACGATTTGAGACCTGAAAAAACAAACCCTGTCTTGGCCATTAGTTACCATTAACTTACAGATTTATTTTATGCAAGGGTGTCTCAGCTTATCTGGGAGTTTGGAGCCATGCTGGAGTGTAGTGTGTTGGGTTTGGGCCTGAGCCTTAAGGACTTTGTTGGAACTTTGGAGGATGACTTGTAGATCCATTCCATAACATACTCAATACCTTATTTTTCTCCTCTTTGAATACACACCATGAATGCTAAGCTAATATAGCCTGACATTTGACTGGTAAATAGGATGCTTTACAATTAATTACTCACCCTTATTAAGTAACATGAAATAAATGATTGTAGCTTCTCAGTTTGGCCTTCATAATGGTCCACAACATAAACATAACATATCCACACATTTATTCTTTAACTTTATTTAAAATATACTGTAACACAGAAATAAAATTATTTTAAAAATGTATTTTCTAGTAATTAGCTTTTTTTTCTCCAACAAACTTAGTCTAATTATGTATCAGACATGATAAAATGAAAGGTCAATCGCTACAGATACATAATTTCACTCTGATAGATTGCTGTTTGAAAATAGGTTATGACAATTAGATGATTAATTTTCTTCTATTAAATAGCATTATGAGACTTCAAATTACACTTATCAGTATATTCTCTTTAGTAGGGACATAATGGGAGGAAAGGCCGAACAGAATTGGAATTTGTCTCCTTTGTGGAAGGACCTGAATCTACTTATTATCAACTACACTTGTGAAAATAATTTAAAAATGAAATTGTTTGAAAACTTACTATATGCTGAGTATTCAAAGCAACATGTTAAAAATGTCATATGTTAAAGGTTAAAATATGTGAGTATGAGGAGCAAAATTCTAGGTATCCTACTGGCAAAATTTTTTTGGTTCTGGTTATCTGCAAAGTATACACCCCTTGTCAGTTTAAGTAGGGAGTGCCTGTGTAAACATTCTTGTTTCGCCTGTTCCACATAATCGTTTCTTGTATCATATTTCTTCTGACCTCGCTATCTGAAACCAATTACAGGAGATCCATTTGGGCTGCATCTATTTTCATAAGAAGCCTAGGCAGCAGTGTTTTTCTCAGAGATGAATATCAACATCAAATATGCTTCTGAGTGCTTTGTTATTTATGTTTCAGAGAGATTTTGTAGCCTTCAGCTCTCAAGAATGTGTCACGCTGTGCTGTTTAGACATTGAAGATATTAATGGGCGTAGATGTCATTTTTCATTTTAACGTCTCAAATGCAACAGGCTGATAGGTTAAGCATTCCTATTTTTATGAGGAGAGATATGAACGATGTCTATTTTTTCCAAAATATACATATATTTACTTTGAAAAAAAAGAAGTTATTTATAAACCTGAGAGTACTCAACATTTTTGGTTTCACTGGGTGTTTCTAAGCTATTCTCAAACACTTTACTCCTGGTAAAAGTTACCCGTATTCTTCAAGAAGTAAAAAGAAATATTGATCTGGCAGGTTACAAAGTTCTTTCACTCTTAATTCTCATAATGACACACTCATTAGAATTACTCTTTGTCTAAGTGATTCCTAACTAACTAAAGTTATTACTACTTTAGAAGGGTGACATGCTTCAACTTCACTTCACAAATTTTTTGTTTGTTTGAAATTACACAGTAACTATTAGCAATGATATTTGCAATAAACATTTATAGGAAAATGTAGTGAATTCTGGAAAACATGTACATCCCCACACTTCTGCAGCTTAACAAAAAGTATTCCAATAATGATTTTAATTTAATTCTGAACTGATTTTTTAAATGTCCTATCTTTTCTTTAGCTTTGCTAAAGTTAGATAACTCCATTAAGTGAAGTGCACCCTTAATACAAAACAAATGTGTTTTCGGAAACTAGATATGGCTTGACTTCATTGGTAACCTTTCTTGTTATTCATTTGCATCAGACTCAGTTATTATTAAAGGAAATTTTGCAAGCATCTTTTGCCTCTTGTTCTAAATTATTACTATTTTTTTTTGTTTTGCAAAGGTTGATTATATAAATACCTAAATGGCTCATAGAACTTAATGAATAGCTCTTTTCTATTTATCAATTAAAGTGGACAAGCAATTTTGAAATTAATATTTTATATAATCTGACACCTAACACCTTATATTGAAGGCAGTATTTTATCTCATAATCTTTCATCATTTGAAGAGCTACAGTAATAAACTGCAAAGATGAACTAAGTATCTTTGAACATTTGTTTATTGAATTCAGTCCTAAAATGTTATCCAGAATATTAGAACTAAAATATCATGTGATGCCTGCAGTTAGAATGCAAACTGCCAAAGATTTCAGCTTATGAGTTTTAAATGATGCCTGATCTCTTGGAATTGTTTTTGTCCTCCCATCTCTTGTATTTACTGTAGCAGTTTCTACTGCTACTAAATGAACGCTGATATAAGCAAGTAGTTCTTTTTCATAAGAGTTTGTATTCAGAGACGACTCTTTCCTGTTTTAAAGATAAGTATAAATGCATACACAAACCAAGGTACTTTAAAAGTAGAAGCATGTTTTAGCTAGCTATTTTGTGGTATTCCATTTTTATTATGACTCCTTTAAAAATGAGGTACATTTTTAGTAGTAATATTTTCCTGAGATGTAATTCTAAATATATCTACTTTAATGTCTTTCTATAGGCACTGGGTATTATGTATTCCGTTGGGTTACATGTATAGATTGAGTCGAATGAGTACAATGCAGTTGTGAAGGAGATAGACTTCTAGATTTGAGAGACAAAGGCCTTAGCTTTTGACCAGACTCTGCTACTGCTTTGTGACTTTAGTCATATTACTGTAATATTGGTTTTTCAGTTGCCTGTCTACAAAGTGTGAAAGCTAGGCTAAACAGTTTCTGAAGTTTTGTCCAGTTTTAGATTCTTCAGTAATTTTATTAGGAAAAACTTGTCAAGTGATTAGAATTTTATAATAGTTTAGAGCTTCATCAGGTATTGGGAGAACATGTAATGAAATTTAAGTCAAGGTTGATGGAAACACTTAGCCCTAAAAACCATATTGCTGTTATTTAGCCGCTAAGTCATGTCCAGCTGTTTGCAACCCCATGGATTGTAGCACACCAGGTTTCCCTGTCCACTGTTTCCCGAAGTTTGCTCAAACTCATGTCCATGGAGTCAGTGATGCCATCCAACCATATACAGTCTGTAATCATCCCATTCAAAATGAAAGTGAAAGTGTTAGTTCCTCAGCCGTGTCTGACTCTGCAATCCCATGGACTGTAGCCCACCAGGCTCCTCTCTCCATGGGATTCTCCAGGCAAAAAGACTGACGTGGGTAGCCATTCTGTTCTCCAGGGGATCTTCCCAACCCACGGATCAAACCCGGGTCTCCCATACTACAGACAAATTCTTCACCATCTGAGCCACCAAACACAGATTCAAATTATAAGAATATATAGGTTCCCTTTTAAGTTCTGATAAACACATATGGTCTCTTTACAGGTTAAAAAAAAAAAGAAGTGATTTATTATGATGTCAGAGCTGTCCTTTCCTTTACTTGTTGTTCTTCTTTACCAGAGTTTTACTCATTGCCTTCTGACAGTTCTTTTGACAACACAGAGACACACCAGAATGCACTCTGACCTGGAAGCCAGGAGACCTTGAAAGCACATGATTACTCTCGGCCTCATTTCTCTCATTAGCTAAAATGAGGAGATCAGATTGGATGACTTGTAATATTGCTTTTAGTCCTAGTCATTCATGATTCCAGGATTGTGAACTAAATTCATTAAAAAGTCTTTAGGAATAATATGTATGTGTCACTGTGTCTATGGGATTAAATATAAGCTATATAAAACTGTTTATACATATATACAAAATAATAAATTCAAAATGGAACTTCTAAGAAAAAAAATTAGGCAAACTGTGTGTGACTTTTGGCATTAAAGGGGAAAATAGTTGATTTTTTGATCTTGAGAATTTCATATATATGTAGCCTAAATCACACTATATTAATTTCCATTTGAAAAGTAACAGTTGTCTTTTTTTCTTAATGAACTTCCATTAAAGAAAAAAAGAAAGAAAGCTATATTATGTAGGATATCAAGTTGAAATTTTTTAAACTGAATTTTGTGATAATGAAGTATTTATGGAATTTTTCTTTGATTTTCTTCCAGCTGAACTTTATAATAAAACTGCCTGAGATCACTGGAATGTGCTAGCCTTAGAAATATTTAGGCTGACTTGTAATTACTTGAAAATTTTAAAAAACAAATTGAAGTTGTTGTGAATGAGTGTGTCTCCAAATGTAAAAAGTGTGCTTGACAAACTATGCCAGATCCTGCTATGGGAAGGCAAATCAATGTTGTTAGGAGATGTGCTAGGGCATTCAGTTTGTTTACTTTGGTTTCTATGTCTGCCTGCCTTCTCAGAAAACTTGCTTGGAGCCAGACTGTAGCAGCCCTCTCTCTGTCTTTTCATAATTGATCAGGGGATGACTGCCTTCCCTGAGGGTTAAGACGTGGCAACTTTTTCTGTTTGCTCAGCATCTCAATGCAGTAGTTCAAACATTGTTCACACCAGCTGGCAGTGTAATGCCATATGCACATCTTGTCAAAGCAACTGTTGTCATGGATACTAGAAACTCTCTTAAAAACCAGCTCATTGATTCCAATCAAATTTGTACTTTTTATCAGCTTAGAATCTGAATTGTTATAGAATATTGATCTAAGATATTTTTCCCATCAGGAAAAATTTACCTTGTACCTTAAACAGTGAATAACAAAATAGGGTAATGATTTATTTTAGTTTTATTTGTTGAAAAATTTCATCATCTAGTGTTCATTGAACTCAGTTGTTGAGAAAAACAATGAGTTTGTAGAGGCTCTCAAAAGTTTTTTGTTGTTGTTGTTTTGTTTTGTTTAGTTTACACTGCTACCTTTAAAACATCTCAATATGTATTTTGTATGACGTTAGTTTTTATATGGTAAGTTTATGAGGTCCAATCACCAAGCTGTCCCTCCTCTAATAAATGATATGCTTACATTAATTCCTTATGTTAAGTTTTATTTTCCTGAGTGGGATAGAAAACATAAAAATAAATGAAAACATCTTCTATTTTGATTGGTATTCTGTCACACATAGAAACAAACCTGATTGGTTGAGTGGTAATTTCTTTGTTCTCTGATTTTGCTAAGAATGCAAATGAAAACCACTCAATTTTATTTGGTATTAAAACTGCACTTTATTTTGTCAAAGGAGAGGTTTCCCCTTGAATTGTAAGTACAAAAAAAGTGTTTTTAATCTTTAGTGAAAATCCTTATTAATTCACTTTCAAGATAATCTGATGTTGATTTGTCAAATTTAATTACAGCTTCCGGTAACACTTGAAGTCTACTGCTTTTGCTTCAAAATTGTAATATGAAAATGCAAATTGAATGATAATTTAAAAGGGAGTGGGCATTTTGGTTGAACACTCGAAGATAAGTTCCATGTGGAAATGAGGTTGTTGATGCGGTTTATGATTTCTTTCTCTTTAAGCACTTTAAACAAATTAACTATTTTTTGCAGGATTACATTCATCTCTATTATTTTAAGTAAAGTTGTGTAATGTGTGTTATGTGATTTTTTTCACATTAGAAGAAAAATAATATTTAATAGTTCTCTAGAAAGAGAGATTGCCATTCATTGAAGTTTATTACTATTAACCAAAGAATAACTGATAATTTACCTTTCAAAAAATATTTAGATATTGCTCACTTTCACTTCTAGGCTCTCCAAGCAGCAAGACAACTTCTCTTACAGCAGCAGACAAGTGGATTGAAGTCTCCCAAGAGCAGTGATAAACAGAGGCCACTGCAGGTTAGTAAGGCTGCCCTCCTGTCCTGGAGGTCTTACTCTAAAGGATGTCTCTAATGATAATAGATATGCAGACCCGGTTGTCTACATACATAAAATTATTACATTTGCATATGTAAGTAATTTTAATTCAAAAAGAGAGCTCATGTAGTCCTCTTGAAATAGAAAAGAATAATATTCTACTAGCTTAAATTTCAGATGTTCACAAGGTCACTTAGTGGACTAATTATGTAGAGACAACATTTAGGATACATAGGCTTTAAGAGTTTTGTGTAAAGCTTTCTAATGAAATTTTATTCACAAACAGGTTAAGTGTGAAATTTCTTCCTTAAAAACAAAGTCAAAGTAAAATGGCAGGGAAGGAAACAGAATAGTCTTGAGATAACCCTTCTGCAGTTATATTAAAGTGACAAATGCAGAAAACCTCCAGGGTTGCCAGAAAAGCTGTTTTGAGTTTGCCAAGGAGTTACTGCTGTTGCTACAGTTAGAAAAACACAGTCTGGAGTTTGCTGTCCTTATTCACTGTGTTTGTCCTGTGAAACTGATAGTATGTATGTCTTTTAAAGTAACTTTTTGCAACATAATATAACCATTGTTTTATATAGCCTTAACCAAAATATATAGGACATTAGGGGGAAGAAACATTTTTAGAGTATATTTTTGAAATATTTGGAAGGTAGACTCTGGAATTGCATAAAACATTATTCAAAATGTTTATCAGTTCTGTTGAAAGATAAGCAATGCTTTTTTTGAATCATGTCTAATAAGTTGGTTTTTTTTTTAAAGTCAACATCATTCTTATTGCTTTATTTTAACAAAATAATCTTGAAAGAAAATTTATGGCCTAGCTATCAGTTTTCATTTTCCAGGTATACTTCCAGGTGCTAGTAACTAATTCTCATATGGTACCCTACTGAATCTTTGTTTGTGTGACAGAATTATTGGCTATTGATATACATAGTCCAAAAGCTACTTATTACCTAAATTTGAATTAAATGCATAGTCCCTAGGCAATTGTGAGATGAGTATATATTTTTGGGAACAAACCCATTTTTGGGATGTGGGTGGGAAGAAGGGGGTCTTGGGGATAGGTGGTTATGATGTACCGATGTCTGCCATGATTGCAAATCAAATTTATACTAAGTCAGCCTAAGTTTAAGATTCATTTTAACTTTTTTCTCTTGTAAAATGGATTTCACATTCTTTTAACTAGTAATTCTGTAGTGACAAACTTTCCTCACTATCATATGCCTCCCCTAGTAATTACGGTTTTTGAAGTATTTCCATCAAGTTATCTGATTTCATGAGAAATTCACATGAAGTCACAGAAGATAGCAAATGAAATGCTTATCCTCACTATGGCTTCAGACTGAGATTTTTGCTTTCTTGTTGGTATAGCAAAGGAAATTTAGACACTGGCAGAAAAACCAAAGGTAGAAAAGATTATTGTTTTAGATATCTGAAAAACGCTACATATTGTCCTAATTCTATTTTTATCATAGCCCTTGACAAAACAGACAAAATACTAAGTTGTTACTCTCCAAAGCTAAGTCCAGTAGAAGTTTCTTTATTGTTGGTTACCACGGTATCTTTGGAAAGAATGGCTGGGCTTTAGTTTTTCTGCTTTCTTTTTTTCTTGTTTTGGAAGGCAAAATGTGCTACTTTATTTAACTAAAATATACTTTTTTTTTTCTTGGAAAATACATGCACACATATAATGTGGAAATATTAATGAGTCAAATAAGAAAATGTTGGTCATGTACCAAATTTGTTTACATAAAATTTTGAGCAGAGCTCTTCAATTTTATTATCACCAAAGGGTGACTAACAGTATTATAAATACCTTTTAACAATTTCAGTTGCTAATCATCTCCACAAACTTTCATTGTGTCACCTATATTTAATATTTTGTGATTCATATTATTTAGAATACATATCCATTGTACATATTATAAAACTGTAGCATTTTATTATTGCTTTGTAATTTTAGTGGAATCTCATGCCAGAATGTGATGACTGAAGATTTAGTTGGTTTTTGTGAATAAAAATTTATAAATAATGAATGAAGATGTATTTTTTCACCAAAATAAGCACTGCAATTAATATGAGTCTACAGTTCTAGTATTTTGTAGTACTTGATAAGCTTAGCAACTGGAAACATGCTGGGATTGTATTAAAAGTCTAATAAAAATCTGATAGCATTTTATACTAGCTTACACATTTGTCAAAAGGAGATGTAAGGTAATGCTTATCTTTGCATCTACAAATACTATTTAATGTGAATTGCACTATTTTCCACTAATGTTAAAGGGTAAAATGTTTCTGTTAAAAATTTTAACTATTTAATATGAAAGTAATATTCCATGATTCTCTCACAGCCTACTTCTTTTTCTACTTAGCTAAGAGTTTAACCAACCTTTCATAAGAGAGTTAGTGTAGATTATCTTTTAGGATTAAAAAAAAGATAATTTAATGTGTTTCAAAATCTGTACTTCAAGGCAAACTATTTGGTGTTAATAATAGATGGTGGTGGCTTGTACTTTATCAGGCATAACATATTTTTAGAAGACCAAAAGAGATATGTGGTTTTTATTTTAAAACATAGTTTTGATGGAGAATGATTTTATACCATTTGAAAGAAAGGACAGATTTTTTTTAAAGAATCTGTTTTAATGGCTCAAGTCACAAGAACAATACTTGGTTGCTTTGTTATATTCAACTGAATTTCTTTTAAATGTTTAAAAGTGGTAGCCAGATTTGAAGTGTGACATGGCAGAGAAAATATTTCTAGCAGACTAGTATTTATCTACTATTCCTTTTTCATTTACACTTTTTCAGGTTTTTGTGCTACACATGGCATAGATATTAGCATATCTAATGCAAAATGGAAAGAAGAAAATCATATCTGACAAGCTTGAGTACTGATCATAGTAGCGATTTCACTTTCATGTATAGATATCTGAATATATGTGTTTGAAACATGTTTGCATATTATATTCATTACATGAAACACCAATTGAATAGGTGCAATCAGTAGGTACACTGGTAAATGACATATTGATGAATAATATATAAAGATTGTGATGCAAATGGGAGCTGATATTAACCTAAGAATTACCAGATGTTTCTTCTTTATGTTCTTATTATGTATCCCAGAAAAACATAATCTAATAATAACAGCTGAAGATAGCCTCTCATTTGTTTTATTTATCTATATCTACTCCTTATACTTTTAGACCTGATGTACTCATGGTGTTCCATAATGAGAAAAGTTAGCCAAAGAATAATATGTAATAGTTTCAATTTCATAAAACTAATTTCCAGATTATCAAAAACAGTAAATGCACACACACACACAAACACATCTGCATAAACACACATGCACACTTCCATAATCTGTAACTTAAAAAGTTTTTGTGAAATACATTATCAATTTTCTAGCCTATGACAAATCTAATTAATTTAGTTTAGGTATGAAAATTGGTCGCATTATTGTTCTTGTTACATTTACAGCCATGAGACAGACTTGTGGTTCTTCAACAGCTGTGCAGAGCAGAGACGTAAATTTAAGGTAAATGCCATTGCTTTGCTATCTTAGATGAATATTAGTATATAGCATTGTAATCACTTCCTTCATTGTAGGTATCTTATATAAGGTTCTCTTACCCAATAGGCCATTTAATTTTTTTTATAATTCTGTGCTAAATAGTTTGAGAATGGAATAGTAAAAGGCCAAAGTGAATTAAACCTAGAGGTCTTATTCTGACTCTGGCACAAATGAGTTATATAAGTTTGAGGAGGTCACTGAACATCTTGAAAACAAAGACATTGGGCTACCTGATGGACAAAATATAATATTCTGTGGTTAAAATGTATTTCACGTTTTTTGGAGTGAGTGATAGGCATCTAATTTTTCAGGGTTAGTTGTATCTTGTTGGATATTGGCTTATGCATAAGAATTATGTTTGTTTATCTGTTTTCAGTTACAAAGCACTTTATTAATATACCACAGCCAAAACTAATGCTTTGGAATCAAAGTATCAAATCTCATATGTATGAAAATCATGGTACAAGTGTCGTTTTATATAACATCTAAGGAAACTTTATTTAATGCCTTGAAATAATTTTATACGTTCCTTTAGAAAAAAAAAATCTAAATTCCATAAGGAGTTATTTTACCATGTATTTATTTGAAATTCTTCAGTGAACTAATCAGCATTTCTAAAATTTCATATTCCAGGGAAAAAATAAAAAATAAAGTATAATATGTAAATAATGAAATATTTCCCCTGGGGTGAAATATTTATCCTGGAATAAAATATTAACTCTGTGAGCTATAGAATTGAACACTGATAAATATGTTTTAGAGAATTATTACAGTCCATCCATGCACTGCTAAAGAATGAAATTGAATACTTCCTTCCAACATTAGTTTCTGACTTCTTGTTATAGGAATTAGAAGATAAAACACATTTTATTCCAAATGCTGAAAGAAACATAAGCAAGAAATCTGCAATATGGGTTTGAGATGGAAAATTTACTGTGATGCAGAATATTTAAAAAGAACTTTTAAAAGGTGTTTTTTGCTATGTTTTATGTATATTAAAAATAAGCAGTTATATATTTTATATCATAAACTTAAAAGAGAGTTTCATTTAAAAACTACTATCAAGGAAAGACTATGCCTGTGTGGTCCTAATTTTCCTATTCTCAGTCAGCAGTTCAGTTGTCAGTCGTTTCCAACTCTTTGCGACCCCATGGACTGCAGCACGCCAGGCCTCCCTGTCCATTGCCAACTCCCAGAGTTTACTCAAACTCATGCCCATTGAGTCTGTGATGCCATCCAACCATCTCATCCTCTGTCATCCCCTACTCCTCCTGCCTTCAATCTTTGCTAGCATCACGGTCCTTTCCAATGAGTCAGTTCTTCACATCAGGTGGCCAAACTATTGGAGTTTCAGCTTCAGCATCAGTCCTTTCAATGAATATTCAGGACTGATTTC